GTACTGTTATTCAGAGCATACTGAATAACTTCAGTAGCAAAAGTGAGTGTTGCTCAGACTTACAGTTGGGCTATTTCACCAACCGTCGTCCATTTGGCTATTCTCAATCAGAGTCAAATGAATCCTTTAATGTTCTTTTGATTTAGTTTTGTTCGTTTTAAGTACACAAATTAAAGCAGAGCAAATATTCAGCATTTATTCTTTCTACTCATAATTGCTCTAAGTTTTGGTTCCTTTCCTGCAATTGGGTCGTATGACGTTCTGACTGCAATCAAACTGTAGTAGAGACACCATGTGCACATTTGATTGCTGCATGTTATTCAAAAGAAGATGTTTCGTGTGTCTGTGTTGCAGTATAACAGCAACGGTTGCCAGTATTGGAGCAGCAGGAGTCCCAAACGCTGGGCTGGTCACCATGGTGATAGTCTTAACAGCTGTTGGATTACCTGCAAATGATGTCACTCTGATAGTCGCTGTGGATTGGCTGCTGTAAGTGTATCTGGTGACCTTCTGTGATTTCTTCCAAATCTTTTCTAACTGAACAGCTGTAAATGAACTTTGAGTGGTGTTTTTCAGGGACCGGTTCCGCACTATGATCAACGTTCTTGGCGATGCTTATGGAGCCGGTATTGTTCAGAAACTATCCAAAAATGAACTGGAGAGGATGGATCTGATATCAGATGTAGATGTCGCCAACCCTTTTGCTCTGGAAGCTACTTTGGATGATGAAGAGTGCGAGAAGAAGTCCTACGTCAATGGAGGCTTCACCGTCGACAAGACAGATGCAATCTCCTTCACTGAAACCTCTCAGTTCTAGCCTGCGGCTCCAGGAGCAGAAAGTGCCATGCTGCTATGGATGTGTTCATGTTTCAGCCCCATGACCAGAGAGGAAACCCATCCAAGCTTAGACATCGGCAAGAGCAGCGTCCATTATCCAAGATGATCACCCTCCATGTCGGATATTTACATCCACTAGATTAAAGTGCTTCCTTCTTACTCTCAAATTGTGCCAATATTAACATGTCACTTTTCTTTTGAATAGGAGTGATCTTTTCTTGTAAAGATGCACTCAAAAGAAGAGCTGTTAAAGTGTGTGTGTGCGCGTAAGGACAGTATATGAAGTGTGTGTGTATGTATTTTGCCATAAAGGAAATTGAATACATGTTAAAACAAAACATTAATCCTACTTTATTTGCTATTAGATAATAATTCTTACAAAAATGTCTGGATGATCTTTTTTTTGTGTGGGAATGTCTATGTCCAATAATGCACTGCTTGTATATCTATCTGTATATTTAAACTGTGCCAAACATATAAAGAGGTTTTTCACCAAGTTGCATGAAGCAATATGTTAAAGAAGTGCTAATCGCTGGCTGCAGACTGATTTTTTATGGGGACTTCACAGAGAGTGAAGATAGTCAACAAAGGCTTATGAAGTCATTGAACACTGTGAAAATGTAAGGACGTCTTTTTTTTCAGAACCAAATCACGTAAAATGATCATAAATAGTGTGTTTTAGGCAGTGTAGGGATACATTAGAGTAAACAGGTTTTGTTTGGAGAATGTCTTTGTAACACCATTTTGCCACTATACTTTCACTGTGGTTGTGGGGTAAAAAATGCTCTTAAACATATTGCTCAGTTAGATGAATGTTATAGGCATTTTTAGCTTAAACCAGACAATAGAAAAAACATGTGGGAACAATTGGTCCGCAAGTCATGTTGACATTCTGGGAAATATACTGCACATCTATGCTTTCTTGCCAAGAGTGAAATGAAATGATTATTACCATGTCATATCTGTGTTGAGCTAGGAGGGTGTTAACTTGCTAGCTAGCATAGCGCACACCAACTTTCAAATATAGAACTACTAAAACACTTTAATGTGACAGTTAGCTGTTTTTAAGGTACACTTAATGCGCCAACATGGGGAAAGTAATACTTTTCTTTTCTCACTTTCAGCAAGGAGTTGTTTTTAAAAAAGTACTGGGGTATTACTTTGATTAAAGCCACCAAAAACACGACTCCGCTGCACAGCAGCAGAGTACAGCCTCCTAAATGGAAGCTACAACAGCTTTTGGCTCATTTTCAAAGGCAACTGCTACAATAAAAATCCAATGCTGACCAGGATTAATCACAAACATAAATGATTCGTTTCAGACTAATTGTAATTATGACAAACAGTATATTTTGTAAAAAGTCAACATTTAGTCCAAGTTGGGTGCAAGACGAAAAGTCTGGTCATCACATTTTGATGTCTTGTAAACAAGTGGAAATGTAGTCCTAATGATGGCAATAGTAGTTTATCTGGCTAGTAGTTTTGAAAAACTGTGTTGGATGGACAAACGGACCAAAAGGGCCTTGCCTTTCTTAGAACGTCAGAGAAAGTCAATGCTTTGACACAAATGATACAAATATCTGTACCTATGTTAATGCTCTCTGGCTGCATTGTTATTTGTGATGCTTGTGGTTTTACGCTCTTTTATAAAATGTATGTCCATGTCTATAACCGAGAGCTGTGTATTTGACTCCATGCAGCAGCTACATGCTCTGATGCCTGCACATGCTCATATTGTATCGTATTTAAGCATGGGATGAGTGGTGGAGAGTTGTTTGGTGGAGTTCCCTTGAACAAGATATGACATGGGACCAACCGTGTTATTGCTAAGGGTTTTCTGTTGTTCTATGTATGCCATGTCCTAATCAATATCAGTGTTTTCAAGGTAAAGTAAAAAGAGTCCTTTTACCTTCCATAATGACAAGACACATGTTATCCATCACATGCTAACAGAGGTATGCATTGTACAACAGACTCAGTAGATCTACTTCTTCAATGTAAGATAACTTAGCTTGGTTCTTAGATTGTGGTAGATATGAAACCGTCAGAGTAGTTTACAGCACAATATCACACTGTACGATGAGTTCTATTTTAAATTGGAAGTCAGAATATCCCCGTGGGTCATCCCTAATTTTCCAATGTTCCTCATTGTAAGAGATTGGTACGAGCTTTCTGAATTGAAAAAGAAAGAAGAGAGATGGACATTTGAAATACAGCTTAAAAGGTAAAAGTCAATTTGGCCTCTGTCGAGATATCAATGTCATATTAAGAGGATATTAAGCTGTGATATTTTCTTTAGCTGCTGTAAAGTACTGTTCCCAAAACTGCACCTAATGTCCATAATTAATTGTTATTGGCTAGGTTAGCGTAGATAATTAGGGACTGCAAACGCTACACTTAAAAATGCCTTGCTAGCTAGGCTAGACATGCTAATTTCCATGGTACAGAAAATGACAGAGGATTTCCTCTGCCTGTGGTTGATAACTGTTCCCAAAGCAGCAGCTAGCATCTCAATGCTTTGCAATGTTAGCTGCTACTCTTTCCCATGTGTCCTTACCAAGTATCGTGCAGATGTTTCTGTGTTTTTGAGGTCATGCAGTGCTGAAAAATCCTAAGCCTATTTTCTGAATATTAAAAAGTCTAATGAAGTAATAGTGTTTTCAGAGTGCTGTTTGGTGGGATTTCACTTGTCCACGTTTCCTTAGTGGATTACTTGAGCTTTCATGTTTAAAGGGTTGACTTTTCCCAAAAGTAAGAATGTCCAAATCCATTGCTGGAATAAGAGTCTAAGTCTCAGTGTCTTGATTTTAATCGTCTCTACACTGCCAAAAGGGCCATATTTGAATTAAAACATGGGTGGAGGTTGGTGCTTGTGTGTCATTGTATATTGATCAAAGATGACCCAGAAGCCCTCGCAAATCAGGTTGTATTCTACATTTCAAAAGCACACCGTCATCAACCAACCCCGTCTTTGTTGAAACAACTACTTGAGTAAGTACAGTATGTGAATCAACATGTGCTATGTAATGTGTAACTGCAAGCAAATAAAAGAAAGTTGCTAATGAGTTGTCATATTTTCTTGTTTATATTTTTTAGTAATGAACCGAAACATATTCTGCTAGTGTTGGAACATGATTGCCTCTTCTTTGATATAGAAATAAGGGTCAGCGCTTTGAAACAAATCCAGAAACTCATAAAGAGAATGCAAGTTTTGATTCTACAAGATGGATTGTCTGATTCATTCAAACTCATTAGCTGACTTTATTCGATGTGGGACTTTTTGTTTGACAAAACAGACCCAACTCAAGCTTGCATGAAAAACCTACGACATAAGTTAACCTTCTCAAGACCATGCAATATGGTCTATTCTTAAATTCGTTTTTATCAGTTCTTATATTTGGATTATCTCAGTGTACCCATGTTAGTCTCTCCAATTACAATTATTGTACAATTTCTGACGAAACATGCCGAAACAATCAATCCAACAATTGTTCGGATAAGACTTCAGCAGAGATTTGCTGGTTAGGGAAGCTGAAGGTAGGCAGGGTTATTACAATTCTTTCCATGTATTGAATCTCTCAACTCTGTATTGAAGTATGCTTGTTGGCTCTGCCTTTGAGTATGGCTTCATTAAACAGGCATTCACACTTTTTCCAACATAGAACATTCTTTAATCACTTGTACAGTAAACTGTCTGTTGAAAAACTCAAAAGGGGCATTTCAACACCAACTAAAGCAGCCTCACCTGCTAGTTCCAAAAATGTCATATTTACTGAATTATTTCAAGACTTTGTTCAATCTGCCCTGCTTTTAAGGCCTATAGCTTGACTGCTTATTACACCAAAATGTGTTTCAGCACTCATTCTGCAATAGATCATAATGTTCCTGATAGAGCTGGTGCTTAATGCCTCTCAGACATAGTTAGAAGCTATTTCTCTGATATATGGCAGTAGTTCACACAGAGCTGCAGCACCACACACACAGTTCACCTTTAATGACCTTCAGGATTTACCTGAGGACTCCACAATGTTAGCTAGAGAGAATTAAGGGGGAAAAGGGACTTGGGAATTGCCTCCTGGCTGTGTTCAAACAGAGATATAACAATGAGTTTCAATTCCAAAAGGTTTATTTTAACATGAAACACATTATTTTGCCACTCATTGATACAGTGTGTGTGGACATATATTAAGTCACTGCAGAAAAAATACCTCTCTGTACACACAACAGGAGAGTCGTGACATCAGAAGACAGAATTGGAAGGTGACAGTCTCTTTCCCTAACGGGGAGGAATAAGATAGACATCACAAAGTGTTTAACAACAATACAGCTTTAGGGTGGTAATGAATTGGCATTTGAGGTAAAGTTGGTATACAGGGTATACAGTACATGAGGAAAAATAGGGGACTTAGTGGTAATGATGATGGTTAAAAGTCCTCCACAGGCACATTTTTAAACCTTACAATTTTTGTGAATGCTACCCCAATTGTATTACTCTACTGGCTTGCATTGTTTTTGCTGTAAAAGTTTGCTTAGTCTTAACAAGGTAGCTGCTCAAAGGGTGTTTGATTGCCAACAGAATTCTGGATCTGTAGTACTAAATGCAGCTGCTACCAGGCAGCGGGTGAGGCTCAGGATAGGGAAGGATACTATTTGACCAACTAACATACTTGTTTTAAACACAACAGAAGATGCTATTATGTTTATCACAGCAAATATATTGCACCTACAGTATATTGGCAACAATACTGCACAGGACATCAGCTACAGGGGACTGGATGTTTGACGAACGAACAACAATAATAACAATAATATATAAAAGCGAAAGAAAAGATTCAACAATGACGGGCTAATATGCTACAGTTACATAAGTGAAATGAAGGTTACTAATTGTTTAGCATTTTACAACAAAGCAAACTGAACAAATCAGAACAGAATCAAGTAATCAAACAGGAGACAGAGACATACCACAGGGAGTGAACACTTTTCAAAATAAAAACTGGAAAACAGATCGTGACAGTTACTGTGCAAACATACAGTCCATGTACCTACACCCTACTAACTGCAGCCCGAGGAACCGAGCATGTGACAGAACTTCAGCAGTATATTTTGAGCTTGCGCCACTAACTGAGAGTAAAGATGCAGCCCGTGAGACAAGGACTAGTTTGTTAACCAGTGCTGTTTGTTAAGATTAACTTTAGTTGTTGCCATCACAGTATTCATTCTAAACTCTATATTCAATGAGACAATGGAGACACAGAGCTGGTCCACCTCACCTTTCAGAGTCTGGTCGGGTCATAGTGTTGGTCCTGGAGAGATGGACCTCCTGGCTAACACCTCGTCTACCTCACAGTCTGTGGCCCCCTACAACACATTGAAAGTCATATTATGCATGTGGTGTCCTTAGGCAAGGCAAGGCAAGTTTATTTATATAGCACCTTTCAACACAAGGCAATTCAAAGTGCTTTACAAAAATGAAAGACATTAAAAAATGGCATTTAAAATCAGTCATTAAAAAGCAAAGATAATAAAATAAACATTAAAAGAAAAAATACATGGATAAAAGTTACAGTGCAGTTTAAGATTGAATAGTTCAATTAAAAGCAGCGGCAAAAAGAAAAGTCTTCAGCCTGGATTTAAAAGTAGTAAGAGTTGCAGCGGACCTGCAGGTTTTCTGGGAGTTTTGTTCCAGATTTGGAGCATAATAACTGAACGCTGCTTCTCCAGTTTAGTTCTGACTCTGAGGACAGAAAGCTGACCAGTCCCAGAAGACCTGAGAGTTCTGGATGGTTCATCATTTAGCAGTAGGTCAGAAATGTATTTTGGGCCTAAACCCATTCAAAGCTTATAACCAGCAACATATTTTGAAATAAATTCTTTGACAAACAGGAAGCCAGTGTAAAGAACTTCAGAACAGAGTGATGTGATCCACTTTTCTTAGTGTCAGTGAGGGAACCAGTGGTAAAGACTTCAGAACAGGAGTGATGTGATCCACTTTCTTAGTGTCAGTGAGGACTCGAGCAGCGTTCTGAATCAGCTGCAGCTTTCTAATAGATATGTTAGTGAGACCTGTGAAGACACCATTACAGTAGTCCAGTCTACTGAAGATAAAAAGCATGGACAAGTTTTTCCAAATCCTGCTTTGACATTAGTCTTTTAATCCTAGATATATTCTTTAGGTGATAGTAGGCTGATTTAGTAACTGTTTTAATGTGACTGTTGAAACTCAGGTCAGAGTCCATGACTACACCTAGATTTATGGCTTCATCTGTTGTTTTGAACATTGCAGACTGAAGCTCAGCGCTAACTTTTATACGTTCTGCTGCCTTGGCTCCAAAAACCATTACCTCAGTTTTATCTTTGTTTAATTGGAGAAAGTTCTGACACAATCCACTCATTGATTTGTTCAATGCACTTACTCAGTGTTTAAACTGGAGATAGTCTCCTGGTGAAAATGGTTATGTGAATGTGGGTGTCATCCGCATAGCTATGGTAACTTATTTAGTTGTTTTTCATTATCTGAGCCAGTGGTAGCATGTAGATGTTAAAGAGAAGAGGCCCCAGGATGGAGCCTTGAGGAACCCCACATGTCATTCTTGTCAACTCAGATGTGTATTTACCTATAGAAACAAAGTTGTTTCTGTCCTTTAAGTAGGATTCAAACCAATTTAGAACTGTTTCCGAAAGTCCCACCCAGTTTTCCAGTCGGTCTAGTAATATGTTGTGGTCAACAGTGTCAAACGCAGCCCTGAGATCTAATAATACTAACACTGAAGTTCTGCCACTGTGTTTAAGTGGATGTCATTGAATGACTGGAACACATCCAAAACAGTTATTTAAATGCAAGAAAATTACTCAACTGTTGAAAAACAGGTAAGTTCATTCCTAGAGCTACTTATGTGTTAGGAAAAAATACTGAATGTACTCCAATATCAGAGTCCACATGATAACAAAGGCCCCAACTGTAGCTGTGTACATGACAGGATGTATGATTACCTAGAAGAGCATCAGTACTGTTTTAGACATATGATAGCTATGTGATTAACATGATGATTCAGCCTCTATGGAGATAGACATATGACAAGCATGATCATTTCTGACGTGGGTCCTTAGCTAATCTGAACAAAACATTGAATACTGCTTTGAACCGGTATTCCTCCATCTTGTGACTGTGTAACTCCCTCTCTTGTATATCAGCATGTGAAGGACACTGTTCAGGAACTAGTTGCACCAAATGCTCTGTATGTGATGACTACTTCCATTCTTGCAAGGATACTAAATACATGTATCCTGATATGAGCTCAAGCCGGTGACGAGTGATTATTTTTCTAACATTATGCAATACAGTTGCAAGGTCTACAGAGGAGAAACGTGCCGTGCAAATTCAAAATACACAGCAAAGATTACATCAGTATACGTTTTCGATTCAAGCAGAATCAGATAAGGATACAGGCTTCCTACTAAAATGTGATGTATTAATGAAACCTGTAAACAGTGGCGGCCGGCCCATAGGGGCCTTCCCACATTAAAAATAAAAATAAATATGTATATTATATTTAAAAAATATATTTTTAATTTTAATTTTAATTTTTAATAATATATAATCGGTATCAGTAAAATGTATAATCTACAATAAAATCTCGTTTAAAATTGTGTTACGATGTCTAAAGTTACTGATAAGTCACATGTTTCCTGCCTGGCCTTGCCCATGTATCATTACTCCTCTCGTCTGGGCGCTGTGCATAGCGCCCAGACGAGAGTGCAGCAAGTGCAGCAGAAGCCAACTGTTGCTATCTTTAAACTATGCCGCCGAAACATAATTTCAGCCAATCAGCGTCGTCAAACCTGATGGTCACAGGGCTCCTACGTGAGCGCCCGGTGCAGTCTGTGAGTTGTTTGGACTCGTATCCAAGGAGACAAAACAGGAAGCTGTCATACACTCTGGAAGCTACCATTAGCAGCTAATGAAAACTCAGTTTTTGACATAAAAATGGAATTATGGATCATCAATCATTTTTCAAAGTGACAGACACATTGGATTAACCTATGGATTAACCTTCAGCTGCGTTTTTCTCGTTTTTGATCAGAATTGTTATTCTGCAAAAGGTGAGCATATCTCCGTGTTTTGCTACCTAAAGCTACGTCGTGTGATGTCTGTATTTGCTTCCCCTGTCGCGAGTTCTGATCGCTCAGTGATGATACTTATATTTCTAGAATCTGTGGAATCTCAGCTTGTAAGCTTGTTTGTGCATATCCGATATATCGATTGATTTATACCTAGAGTGCGTTAGCATTTTTTCGCTCAGGGCTCATTTAGACGCTTCTTGTGAGACTTGTGTTTTGTTCGGTAAACATGGTTCATCATCAGTTAGATGCGTTTCCTCTGAGTAGGACACATGAATAGTTTTTATTACATTTTAAGAAGCCCTGAGACACAGTTTCGTGAGAAAAAAAACGGGGGAAAAAAGCCCCTTAACAGGTTAAATGGGAATTAAATCAGTGTTCCCAAAGCCCCGGTGTTCTGCAGTTTGTGTGGGCCTACTGTACTGTTGCACAGTTTATGCTGTAGAAACTATGTCCAGGACAAGGTGTTTGGAAGTTTTGGAAGATTCATAGCTAACCACACTGAAGTTGAGGAGGTATTGATCAGTCTTCTCATATTTTTAAGCCTCAAATTGTCCTTCCCCCCCTCTAACATCACCAGAAGTCATAATTTAAGGGGTCTTTTCTCAAAAAAAATTACCGGGGGAGCATCCCCCCGGACCCCCCTAGTATTGTTTGATCACCATTTCCACAGCCCCACCTAAAATATTTTCCACCAGCCGCCACTGCCTGTAAAGTATAAATTAAAGTAATTTACCTAACATTACAGGGATGCAAACTCATCAGGTATGAAAAAGGTGACAAGGATCCGAGCCCCCCGACCCCCATATCGGCTTTAAAATTAGGAATAACAGAGGATTTTAGCAGTCAGAACAACTAAAGCAGTTAATAATAACAGAAACGCCAAAGAGTCACATCTAATAGAAATGTATAAAAGCATTTATTTTAATTGCAGCACTGTTGAGCATTTTGAAAATGTATTTTCATGCCTCTGTGCAAGGCTTAGTCTTTCTATCTTTATAGCCAGTGGTGTAAAGTAACTAAGTTCATAAACTCAAGTACTATACTTGGGTACAATTTTGAGATACTTGCACTTTATTTAAGTATTTCAATGTTTTGCTACTTTGTTCTTCTTCTCCTCTACAGTTCAGAGGTACATGGTGTACTTTTACTCCTCTACAGTTCAGAGGTACATGGTGTACTTTTACTCCTCTACAGTTCAGAGGTACATGGTGTACTTCTACTCCTCTACAGTTCAGAGGTACATGGTGTACTTTTACTCCTCCACAGTTCAGAGGTACATGGTGTACTTCTACTCCTCTACAGTTCAGAGGTACATGGTGTACTTTTCCTCCACTACATGTATTTAATACCTTTAGTTACTTTACAGATGTGGATGAATGATGTGAAATATAATCAAGTGTTAAATCAGACTTTAGTTCCACCTGGAGTAAATCCACAAGCTACCCTGCAGTATACAAAGTCATTCAAACTAGCTGCACCTTTACCAGCTTTGAGAACACTTTCATGATCAATCATTATAAAATATCATATATATTATTCTGAAATGGACCAATCTGCACAATGACTACTTTTACTGTCGCTACTTTAACTATATTTTGATGAGAATACTTTTCTACTTTTACTTGAGGAACATTTGAATGCAGGACTTTTACTGTAACAGAGTATTCCTACACTCTGGTACTTCTACTTTTACTCAAGTACAAGACCTGAGTACTTCTACTTTTACTCAAGTACAAGATCTGAGTGCTTCTACTTTTACTCAAGTACAAGATCTGAGTACTTCTACTTTTACTCTAGTACAAGATCTGAGTGCTTCTACTTTTACTCAAGTACAAGATATATACTTATACCACCTCCGTTTATAGCCTATGAAAAAAACTATTTTTGATAAGGCTAAAGCTAACGTTAGCAGATAGTGACATTGTATGCTAGTTAGCTAGCTCAACGATTCATTAAATAATATTGCGACAGAAAAACTTTCAGTGCACATCACGCTCTGCCGCTCCGACAGGTGAACACCTGAACGGCCCGTTCTAACAGCTGTTCACCAGCGGTCCAGTCTGTGCCACGGTGACTCCGGACCGCACAGTTAATATTAACGAACGCACCCGTAGGTAATGTAGCTGCTGAAGCTAGACCCTCATCCCGGAGCAGCAGAGCCTTATTATACATCCATGAGCAGAGCCGACAGGCAGGAAGACTCGAGCACACAGCTCGCGCTGCATTATAATATATAAAAAAAGAACACCATGCGTGTCATGATGGCACATAACAGCTCGCGGCCGCAGATTACTCCGGGTCCCAGACCCCCCCCATACCCCAAAAATATTTTTATTGCAGATCTACATGAATCACACAAACGACCTATTTTGGATTCAAAACGGCGAATTTCGCCGAAAGGTGACAAGTTTGCATCCCTGCATTAACTGTTATGAATAAAGGCTTGGTTCCTAATACAGTTGATGCAAATGTATTTGAAAATTGAAATGTTTTCGTGAAGTACTTTAGTTATGGAGAATAAGATTTAAAGGAACATTGTTGTGTCTCGTCAAATGTGTTAGTTATGTTTATGTATTATGTCTGTCATTTTCATGTTTTTTTCACGTCTGGTCATGTCTGTTTATTTAGGTCCCCCTTGGTGTTTTTTCCCGCCTTCATCAGTGTCTGCCCCGCCCCTGATTGTTTCCAACTGTTCCCACTCACCTCATGTTTAAATAGTCCTGTCTCTCCCCTGTCCTGTGTCAGTTCGTCTTGTTTGTTTCCCGAATGGTCGTGCCAAGCCTTGGCTCAGAAAGGATCACTTTCACTCATGTCAGGTTTTGTTATTTGTTAATTTGTAGGCTTAAGTTTTTCTTAACGGGCCGTCTCCACGGCAGGCGTTAAAAAAATCTTGAAACGCTTCTGCCCATTTCACTTTGAATGGGCGGTGACGTCACTTTTTTTCGCTTTCGCCGAAATGCATTGTGGGCAGGCGAGCGGAGATTCTCAGGATTTTCAAGATCCAAAGTTGAAACAATGTTCAACTTTTGAAGCTGAAGAGGAAGCGTCAGCCAATCAAATCCCGTGTACTGCAAATCTGACAGTTCAAGCTCTAGCCAATCAAACGGCGTGTATGCTGGGAGAGCCAGACCGCAGGTCATTTCCTCATATTCCAAAAAATGGAGGAGAAATTAGTGGTAGCGAAATCAATCACCCGGTGCTTTATGACCAGACCCCTACCGGGATATAAACCGGAGGATGCCAGGCCATGGAGGCGAGGTGGGCAGAGGACAGTGGTATGTTTCGCCTGTTTTTGGGGAGTTTATATCCGTTTACTTCGGGCTTTTTTTGGCTTCGTATGTCGCGGGCGGGAGATTCATGTGATTGGTTGATCGCAAAAAAATCCCCAAGCCTCAGATACGCCCACCTCAAGATTTTTTAACGCTGCCGTGGAGACGGTCCGTTTTAGTTCTCTTTTTGTTATGCTTAGTTTTTTCCCTCCTTGTGAGCGCTTTTTTGTTTTTATTCCAGAACCTACTCTGTTAAGAGGGATTTACGTGATCTTTGAATTAAATATTTACATTCTTTGTTACATTCAAGACTTTGTCTCCTGGGCGCGCATTTGGGTTCATCAGTTTGTGCCGAGGTCCTGACAGAAATTCTCATAGAGATTACCACGAATGGCACTCGGCCCCCTTAAACAAGGAGAATCCAGGTAAAGGCAAAGACAGGGAGATTCCTGTGAGACAGCTATCAACCCACTGCAACTTGCAACAACTGAACTGAAGACGTACATGTATAGTAGCGTGAGTATATACACCAGAATTAACTACATTCTAATGTGATATCTAATATGTTATCTATTACTTACAAGGCGAGTCGGCGTACAGCTTTAGGGTTGTGAGAAGTCCCCGAACACGCTCCTGGACCTCTTCCCATTCTCTGTGAGAGCTGGACCAAGACCTGGACATCATTACCATTATCATTAGGCTACGTGTCATCTACATACACCTGTTTGCAGTACAAGTCAGTAAGAAGTCTAATATACAGTATTCCATGATGTGATTAGTTAAGCAAAACGAGCTAGGCTAGCTAGCTTAATTTTTGATGTTGTAGTTTAGCTGACTTTTACTCTGAAATAATCAGCTAGCTTAAACTTTGATGGAGGTTATCTATTGGCGTGTTTCCACTACAGCGAGGAGCACGGTTTTTAAGAGGGCTGTGACATCAGCGGCCCGTTTTTTAGTTGCGTTTCCACTTGGACCTAGTACCGGCCGGCGGGTCCTAATTCACAGTTTTTCTGGCCTCATAAAATCGTGGTTCTAGAGCCAGAGACAACGAGGCTGGAGTCGGGCTGAGTATGCCTGAGTATGGCTAAACTAGAGAGAATCGCTGGCAAGGGGGCTACAACTACAACAAGATGGACATATTTGACCGTGATTTAATTGTAATACACGTTTCAAAATGATGCCGAAGTAACAACATACTGATACCGGTTAGTAAAAACCATGAATTAATGCTTTGACAAGTCTGCAGACAGACGGCAGGCGAAAAACCTTTTAAAATGCGTTGTTTTCTAAATGGAGATTGGCTACAGCTAACGCAGTAGTATAGCTCCCGACCGGTCCACACTCACAACGGCCTATACAGACATAAATAAAGCAGCGACGTATTCGCCATGACACAGACAGTCTGTGGTTTGTAACTTGTTTCACTTTTGTCTAGTTTCTGAACCAGATATGAGGAGCTGTGAGCTCTGAGTGCTAACAGCTAACGGCTGTGTTGTTTTTCTGGGGTTCTCATTGAAGATGACGTCACGGCTCCGCCTACACTGCGTTACTATAGATACTACCCCCAGTTCCTAAACTGTAATGGAAATGCGCCATAAAGTGAGCCAGTCCTAACGAGGCCTAGCCATACCGAAGCGGGGCCGAGCGAGGCCGTGTAGTGAAATGCACCATATCTTGACTTTAAATAGAGGTAAACTAGCTTTGTTTTTGATGGAGGTTAATCTCGCTTAACTTGAAAAAGAGTTTGGCTAGCTTAACTTTTGTTTGAGTTTAGCTGTCTTGACTATGGATGGCTCTTAGCAAGCTTAACACCAACAACAGTGGAAGAAAGGTTATATAATGTCTGCATCTTAATATTTAATATAATGTGCAGTTATAAGTGTTTTATAAATCTTGTATTTTTATATCTTTTGACTATATTCTCTACCTTTGTCACAAAGTGAATAATTGTACCATGAAGACAATATTTAAATGTAGAAGAAAGAAAAGGACCTGCTTGTGCCTGGCTTGTTCCCTGTAAGACCCCCACACTCCGGAGGGTCCGGACCCTGGTGGTAGTCAGGTGGGTCTTGTGTTTCTGAAGAGGCTGGAGTCATCTTGTGATATCCCTCCAACCTGACAGGAAAGCAAAGTAGTTTGTTACAGTTAGCTTCTGTCAATGATAGATAACCATCCTACAGTATAATGCATCTGCATCATACTGCTAGGTTAACCATACTCTGAACTTCATCTTATTACCCACATAACTTCCTGGTAAAGATGCCACAAAGAAGAAAAAACAATTGTTCCTACCAAACCATTGGATAAAGACTTTCTCCTGACGGTTGGAGAGTATCTCACTAAAACAAAAAAAACAAAAGATGTTTGTGATTTACAATAGACTTATATATACTCAGACAACAGGTAAATACATGTTGGTAGGTCAGAGTCATCAACAAACCATAATGATGTCAACAAAGCAGTAAAGCCATAACGTTTTACAGCTTTTACGGTAAATTGTGTGGGACTTATCAATCTTCAGTAGCATCAAAACCATCATATGAGGATTATCTACCAATGGATGAAGACCTGGTCAAAGGTGAAGAGGAGCTGGTAAACATTGCAGAGTGGGGGTGCGGGACATATCCACTGGCTCCAGGCCACGAAGACAGCATCTAAACGCAGGAGAGTGATGATAGGGTGAAATCCAGGTCAAAGTTCTGCTGGGGTTAGACCGTTTTATTGTGGTAAGAAAACAGGAGACAGCTCGTATCCCATCATCAAATATAAAATGTTCCTGAAATGGATGATGAGATGGTAATATAATGGTAATAATTACCAATGCTAGCTCAAAGGGCATTTTCTTTCTTTCACCCTTCCTGTCTTTAAAATTGGTACACATGTACTCCAACTAATACATAACAACTTGGAGGAAACTTGCGCAATTGGATGCTACAACAAATCAGAAATTGATATTTAACCTAAAAGTGAGGGCATAGAGTTTTGTTTTGTTACTATTTGAATTTTTTACCACAAAAGAAGTAACACCATTTAAACCAAATGTTTCCTGCTTTAATCTCGGTTCACTTATTCTTAGCATGGTGTCTTTCGAGCAGCTGACTGAGAATGTAGGACAATAAAGACACATTTCTTAAATCATTAAAGGATGACCACCACCATTGGAATGCAGTAATTGGCATGGTACCTGCAGGAGAGAGGTACAGGTCGATATCAGTATGTCTAGAAAAATTACTCCGGTAAGGTCAAAGATAGTGAAATTAAGAAGTGAAGAAAAAATTATTGTGGAGGAGTTTTGATTTTTATGTTACACTTAAGTTGCTCTGCAGAACAGCTCTGATAATGACTTTGTGATGTATATTTTTAAATATTATATTACACCCATACTTAAGAGACTTGTCGTTTTAGAGGGAGTGTGGAAAGAGATCTGATCTAACCGTGTCAGGTTTTTCTCCCACAGGAGCAAAACATTAAAAAATAGTCCCGGATAAATGCTGTTAGAGCTGGTACAAATACATGCAGAGGGCCAGGTCTCTACATATACACAGGGGTCCATGAAGCACTCAGATATTGTACATTAGTAAAAGATGAACTACTACACTGTAAAAATACTCAGTTAAAATTAAAAGTCATGTATTTAAAATCTTACTTATATATAATATCTTAAATTACTGGATTATGATTGTTGATGCACTAATGTCTTCATCACAGCTGATAAAGGTTAATTTGAATAACTTCATCTACTACTGCTGAGTATCTATATGATTATATATGATAGTTTATTTATATTTGAATCTGTAAAGTAACTAGTAATTCATTTAGTTAAATAACTGTAGTGGAGTAAAAAGTGCAATATTGGCTTCCAAGATTTAGTGGAGTAGAAATATGAAGTAACATAAAATAAAAATACTCAAGTAAAGTACAAGTACCCCACAATCCTACTTAAGTACAATACTAGAGCAAATGTACTTCAATACATTACACCACTGCATATACACCAACACACTTCTTAGTGATGATGAGACTGAATGTAAACTCGCACTCATCATTCTTTTTATTGAGTCTCCAACCTTGGTACCGGTGAAGCATTATATCATTGGAGAAGAGAAATGTGAAAGGGGTATTAGTTTCAGATACAAGCCAAGAAAAAACTGCTGTGTGGACCTAGATCAGCTCTCCTCTGCCATCTGCTGACTGGCGATGAAAGAAAACATCTTTGTTCATTTTGGGATCAAGATGTGCTGTTAGTGCTTACATGCTGTGGGGGCGAGTCCAGTCTGAGCCGGGCCAGGCTGAGCCGGGCCAGGTGCTGTGAGTTGGGGGGCAGGGACTGGGTTCTGAGGAGGAACGGTGGTGACCTGCTGGTTCTTTCTCTGGACGCTCTGACTCCTCGTCTGCTTCCCAGGGCTGGAGGCTGTCTCCTCTGAGGAGAGCAGCTCCTGGGTCTGCTGCAGTGTTTCCTGTTCCTCTTCATCAGTGGTCTCTGGGGAAAAAAGAGTGGATGTTTCAAAACTTCTGTTCACCAATAACAGAAGGGCTGGGCGTCTGAGCAGTCTGTGTTGAACCTTCTGCTACAGTAGAACCAGAGGAGCTACATCTTGTTGTTAAAGGTCCCATGTCATGCTTTCCCGGTTATCACCCGTCCCCTTGTGTGTTATGAAGGTTTTTCTGCATGTAAACGGTCTGCAGAGTCACAAACCCTCAAAGTACACCCTGTAGCGAGTAAAACTCTAACACAGAAAAGACCTGTCTATGCTGCCCCAGAACGCCTCGTTGGAGATGTCTCTTTTTCCATTGTTTACTTCTTGGGTATAGTGACGTATTTGGGTATAGTGACGTTACGTCTGCGGAGCCGTTACGTTTGGACCAATCTGCGGACTTCCTCACACACACACACTCGGCGGGACGTTGCGAGGCTTGCTGCTGCGAGGAGCGGGACACTGTGAGCTGGCTCACTGGTGTGGGGTCGGCGAGACAGCGAGACACCGCGGAACTCAGCCTGGGCACACACACAAACTCCCAGCCAGGCTGCGGGTGTGTGTGTGTTTCGGGCTGGGCTTCGATGTGTCTCGCTGTCTCGCAGACGGCCACTGGGCTCACAGGGAGGGGGGGGCAGGAGCTCCAACAAGCCGTTTAGGACAGAGAGTGAATACACATACTATACAGAGATGCTGTATGAGAAACCAATGTGAGTTTGGAACATTGAACAATGTAAATCTATTTTAGTAGACCTCAACAATGGAATTATGATCAGTAGAAATGGCCATGACATG